GGTCAAGCTTGTACTTGGCAGCGAGCTCAAGACCGACGTTGTTGCCGGACTTTGAGTCCCAGACAGCGCGGGCACCGGCCTCAACAGCGGGGTTGACGCGCTGGTAGTACGAGGCGGTGAAAACGCTCAGGGAGTTGGTGGCAGTCACGGCAGCGTTGTAGAGAGGGGTGGTGTATCCGACAGCGGCGGAGTACTTGGTGATGGCAGCCTTCTGCACATCGTAACCGACTTCACCACCAACAACCATGCCCTCGTGGCTAACGACAGCATCAGCGGTGGTGCCAATGGCGCCAGCAGCCGAGTAGTCGACGAAAGCGCGGCCGTGGAAGGCAGGCTGCTTGAAGTGAAGGTTGACCTTCTGGCCCTTGTTGCCAGCAGCGGGGTTGAAGTTGGAGAGAATCTCAGTCTTCAAGCCGCTGGCAAAGGTGTCGTTGAGCTCGACCTTGGTGGCCAGCATGTTGGCAGTGTTCCATGACTGGGTGATGCTGATGCCTGCGTCGTCCGTTGTCAGTAGGTTGATTCCGTAGCCCGCCACGGAAAAGCCCCCCTTGCCGGGAGGCTGCTTCACGTGGAATATATAAGATTGAAAGTTGGAAGACGCATGAAGGGGTATAGAGAGGCTCGTGGAGCGGGGGAGAAAGGAATCGTTTGTCGTACCGTTGGAAAGCGACTTCTTGCCCTCGAGCTGGTGGACGCGTTAGCCTTGGCGTTTTTCCGCGTACAATGGCGGGCTTACCGAGGAAGTGACGGGGCCATCGTGGGCAGAGGTTCCCTTGGCGGTGAAGTTGACACCGTTGGGGGCCTTGAGCTTGACCTCAAGGGCAGCTGCGGGCGCGTCAGTGGGAGGGCAGGCGGATCAATTGGAGTCGCGGACCTGCGGCAGTGTGGTAGAAGTCCTTGTTGATGAGCTGGAGGGCGGCTCCGTTAGCAATGGCGCCATGGGGAAGCTCGTCGCGGGGAGCCAAAACATACGTCGTTGGAGGCCTTGGCGATGTCGCTGAACGCCGGCGGCGGGAACTTGGGGATGATCTTCTCGACCTTGACGTACTCAGTCATGTTGGGCAGTTTGGTGGGGGATGTGATGGAGGAAAGAGGGGTGTTTAGGGCGTCGTGTTGCTGGCTGCAAGCAAAACTTCTTGAGAAGTCACGGCAGGGTCCGCGCTAGTAATCCCGGATGATCTTCGTGCCTGCCAGTCCACCCACTCTCCATCCATCCCTCAGACACGACCAAACTCTGTTCTCGCCATGCTCGTCGGCGTCGACTACTCTGCGCCCGTGTCGACCAGACGCCCCTTCATCTTACCTGACACTAGCATGATGTGACTGCCACTCCTGCCATCTGCGCCCTCAACCATGGAACCCATTTCCAGGCGCAGTCGCCCGCGCGCGTGGCATCGTCTTGAGTTGTTCGGCCCACTCGCCCACGCACATGTGGTCGCCAGTCTTTCCTTGACCGGACGCTTTGTACAGCGCAAGAACAGCGCATGTCATGTGGTGTGGGGTCGTCTGTCTGGGCGACAACGTTGACCCTGCAAGCACATCCTCACGGCAACATAATCCAGTCACCATCCCGATGGCGAAGACAGCCCACTTACTTGCCATTTGTTCCATGTTTATTCTGAATCTGATCACGCAGTTGAGGTGCCTCAAGTACACGTACGGAGTGGGATCTAGCCCTGCTCGTTCGCATTACCTGTGGGGATATCTCGGTGTCTGCATATCAGCAACTCCATCAATCGCTGAACGAATGACTTTCCTCGCACCGCAATGTTAACTTTGAAGAATGTGCGACATTGCGTTGACGCTCCGATGGGAGGGTACCGTCGTTTGGTTCATACCAGCCTTACCATCGGTGGCCGATCTCGGGTTCCCAGACGGCTGTACTCCGCGCCCCGCTAAATAAATAAAACTCCTAGAGTGACTCTGACGTTGATTATTCTAGCGCACGCGTCTGGACCTGCAACGACACAATAATTAAACCGGCGCTCTTTGGACACATACACAGACGTTTGGATACACCGAGCACGCATCTCATTGACTAGTCGCCGTACACAAGGGAGCCGAATCCCCACTATCTCGCCAACACCACAACCACAATGTCTACCTTCGGCACGCACTTCAGGGTCACCACGTATGCATACGCGCCGTATAGCTGCTCGACGTCTACTGACCTGCGATAGCTATGGCGAATCCCATTGTCTTTCCGTCGGCGCCATTATCGACGGTTGCCCGCCGGGCATGGCCCTTACTGAGGATGACATCCAACCCCAGATGACGCGCCGCCGACCGGGCCAGTCCGCCATCACAACCCCCCGCGACGAGAAAGACCGCGTAGAGATCCAGTCTGGCACAGAGTTCGGCATCACACTGGGCACCCCGATTGGCGTCAGGGTCATGAACGAAAACCAGCGCAAGCAAGACTACGGCAACAAGACGATGGACATGTACCCAAGACCGAGCCACGCCGACTGGACATACCTGGAGAAGTACGGTGTGAAGGCTAGCTCAGGTGGTGGACGAAGTAGCGCACGAGAGACCATTGGTGAGCGGATTCCGGCACAACCACCGTGCAAACGCTAATGGTGCCCAGGACGAGTAGCAGCGGGTGCGATAGCGGAGAAGTACCTGCGCGAAGCCTACGGTATCGAGATCATCGCATTCACCAACTCCATCGGAAACGAGTTCCTCTTCCCTCCTACACCCGAACATCCCACCGCATCCACGAACCCAGAGTATCTCAAGCTAATCGACTCGATTACACGCAATAAGGTAGACGAGTACCTGCCCGTCAGGTGTCCGAGCGACGATGTCACCAAGCGCATGGAAGACTTGATCGCCAAGTACCGCGACGCACAAGACAGCATAGGTGGCACTGTGACTTGCGTAATAAGAGGTTGCCCGACAGGCTTGGGAGAGCCATGCTTTGACAAGCTGGAGGCCAAGCTGGGACACGCTATGCTGTCGATTCCCGCAACCAAGGGTTTTGAAATCGGATCCGGCTTCGGAGGCGCACAACTACCGGGCTCAATTCACAATGACGCGTTCGTCAAAGCTCCTGCTGTCCCGGCAGGCGAAAACCCCGATGCAAGCAAGTACCGCTCAAAACCCAAGCTCACCACCAAGACCAACAACTCGGGCGGTATCCAGGGTGGTATCACCAACGGCGCGCCCATCTACTTCAACGTAGCTTTTAAGCCGGCAGCGACAATTGGACAAGCGCAGTCTACAGTCACATACGACCAAGAGGAAGGAGTGTTGGAGGCCAAGGGCAGGCACGATCCTTGTGTAGTGCCTCGTGCAGTGCCCATTGTCGAGATGATGGCTGCATTGGTCATCATGGATGCCGTACTAGCCCAGCAGGCGAGACAAGGCGCGAGGAGCTTGCTTCCACCGCTAAAGGGCGTTCAACCCGTCAATGGCGCTTGATAGGCCGGATGATGTAAGTCGGGTATAATGGGAGTTAAGGCGCCAGCTGCGAGTGTACGATGTTATTGCGCCGAGATGGATGAAAGTTATTAGACTTGATGTATAGATAAAAGTGCCACGACTCCACAATATCAGAGCCCACAGATGGGCTCAAAGGCTCAAAAGTCATTCCGAGTCGGAATACAGCAAGTTCAGCAGCGAGGACCAGTTTAGATGCTACCCATGATCGTACAAACTTGTCCACAACCCTCGGCCGAGCTGACAGATTCGTCCGCGAGACAAATAGTTCACATGCGAACCGACTGGGCAAAAGTGTAGAACCACATCTCGACCTTCGTGACGTGCATCTTACCGGTAAACTATAGGATAAGGCATGCAACTATAGACTAGTCGAGACATTCCGATAGAGTGGTAATAGGCACCGCCACCTGGTGTCTTTACCCATTGAGAGGCCGATGTTCACCGGCAAGGACTTCCAGCCTCGCGGAAGCCAGTGTGGGGGCCGGCAGAGTCGCCACACTGTAAGAAGAGGGTGACCGGAGGGCGAGGAGGATGCATTGGCAGCGGATGCTATCGGGCCTTCCCCTCCACCAAAAGCAAGAACCCTGGCTGTTGGAGATCCCTTCGCTTGCAGCCGCGAGCCAACATGACATAGGACACGCTCCGCGAACCCCTCTTCCTCCAGTCTATCCTCTTGCCTACAAGCAGCTCTTGTCAATGTCGCTCCCTTGTCTGACCGACATCGAGATCGCGCACAAGCATGTGTGCCGCCTTGCATCATCCGTGTGAAGATAGCCATTGCAAATTCGTCCAGTGCTCGGTGCGCCATGCCGAAGCTAGTCGTTGATGCTGGTGCTGCTCCAAAAAACTCTGTCCTGTCGCAAGCAGATGCTGCGGTACCCGAAACCAGGCTCCACTGATAGAGTCGTCCCAAGTTCGCTTCTATCTCCGCAAAGGCCCCTCGCGTCCGGACATGGACATGTCAGCTGGCCCATGCCTCCGGGACCTCGATTCGAATTCCCACGTGCGGCACAGCCTGTCGGACGCGACCTATTCATCTGTTACAGCCCATCGGCTACTGCAGTAGGCGTTCACCTCCCAATCTAGATCCAGTACGAGGCCAATCGAGCCTCTTCGTCGTGGTCGCGCATCGATCCTTTTGGATGTCGCCTCTGCGTTTGCCACCCTACCGAAAATCATCCATGGGCTTTGATCTTGCCGAACGCAAACTAAGGCAGGCACGTTGAACGTCGCGACGGGCGCCAACGTCACAGCTACCTAATCCGAGCCCGCTGTTCTTCTCCCTCGACATTGGTGGCTAATCATATTACTTTCCCACCCGGCCCAGAGAATGGAATAACTAACTCGTCCTCGGAGCCCGCGCGGACTGCCTCTTCATTCCCCTCGTGATCAACCATGGCCCGCGCCGCTACTGCCACCTCTTCCAACAACAGAGACGACCAAGATAACTCACAGGCGCAGGACACAAAAGCCAGTAAGCGGCGCTGTGTCCAGTCGGCCTGTGTGCCCTGCCGGAAACGCAAGTCCAAAGTAAGCATCAATCTTCCCACTGCATGCACCAATTCCACATTGAGCTCCTACATCTGGCCCGATGCTGGAGATTCGCCTCCGCGGAAGGCTCGTCACCAGCGAGGATTATCCGCAACTCTTGTTTGGGCCATTCTCCGGGCAACTTTCCCGGTCCCTCGCCAAGTGCCCTCCTGCTGACACCTCATCTACAGTGTGACGGTGGTACACCCGTGTGCGCGACTTGCACTGCCGTCTACAAGACTGAATGTCATTACGACGCTGAGAGCGAGAGTCGTCGCACTAAGGCTACTCCGACGATCGCAAACAGTACTGGGATCAAGCGCGACGCCTCCCTTGTCGCCGCCTCCAGCCCTGAGAATGTCTCGAGCGCCGAATTTATCGTCAATTCGCTGAGACATCTACCTGACGAGCATGTCCAAGAATTTCTCAATCATATTCGAAGAGACCCCAGCCTCGACCTCACCTCTCTAGCTGAAACATGGCGCAAGAACGTGACGTTGACGCAGAGCGAGCCCGTCGACGTTCAAAGCCTCGAGTCAGATCTTAGTGTGCTGCTTGGGAAGCCATCTGTTACATCCACCGGCCAGAGCAGACACTTTGGACATTCCGCAAGCCTAGGCCTGGTACCCGAAGATGAGAATTTTGGTGGCGGGCGGCTGCGTACCAACAGCGTGAAGCCAGAGCGTCAAGGGTCAACGTGGACCAACGTAACCGATGACCTGGCTTTTGTTGAGACTCTGCTTGACCTCTATTTCACCTGGAGTCATCCCTTCTACGTGCTCTTCAGCCGAGAGTGTTTTTACAAGGACTTCAGAGCGGGACGCGACAAGTATTGCTGCTCTCTACTGGTCAATGCTATATGCGCATATGCATGTCATCTCACGGAAGACCCTGCAGGTCGCACGGATCCTGACAACTTCCGTACTGCAGGCGATCACTTCTTTGCCGAGGCCAGGCGGCTGTTATTCGAAGATGAAACCCCGAGCCTGACGACTGTTCAGGCGCTCTGCATTATGTCGATGCGTGAGCCGAGCACAGGGAGAGAAAGTTCAGGCTTTTCCTACATGGGAAGGTGTCTTCGTATGTGTGTTGAGCTTGGTTTGCACTTGAACTATGGCGCCAATTCTGCGCTTGGCTTGACACCAAGTGAGATCGAAGTGAGAAAGGTCACATTCTGGGGCTGCTTCACCGTGGATACGTGAGTTATCTTGGCTATTTTTACCCCGACTGGGCTAACTCGACGCAGAATCTGGACAATCGTTACTGGCCGCATATCTCAGCTTCCTCGAGCTGCCATTACTCTCGAAAAGCCTATGCTGGAAGAGACGTCTGACCTTCCTGAGGCTTATCCCGCCCCCTCACAAATCGCAGGAGGCGGAGTCGTAACCATCCGCATGTTCCTCCAGGAATTTACATCGCTCGCGGAGCTCGTCAATGACAACAACCACATGTTCTTTGCGCCAAAAGAGCGACTTACGAGCAGTAGATTGCTTGATTGTTATCATAAATACCAAGCCTGGTATAGAAAACTGCCAGCTTTGATAAGCCTGGAAGGAAAGAAGGAACCCGAGCCACACATCTTGGTACTACAGTATGTCTGAACATCCATGCTTACTTTGCGAACAGAACTGACACTCCACGTAGCATGCTTTACTGGACCATCATCGTGCACCTTTTCCGGCCTCTGCTCAAAGTCGATCTTATTCATTCCGATATACGCCCCCGCGACATCTGCGTAGATGCGGCCAACAAAGTGTCTGAACTTGTCCGGATCTATCGGCAGTTCTACGACTTTCGTCAAGCTCATCTACTCATACCACACGTATTACTCACTGTCTGTGTTGTGCACTTGCTATATTCAAAGGATAACAGCATTTCTCGACAAAACCTCATCGAAGGCATGCAGGGCCTAGACGATCTTCACGAATGTCACTATTTCGGGGCGAGGAGTTTCCGCGTCATATACACCCTGGCGAAGACGTGGAAGCTGCCTTTCCCTGAAGAATTAAGCAACTCCTCGTTGATACCAACAAGCGACCCCAACAGGCCCCAAGGTACTATTAGTCCTCCGGCAGATCCTCTTATGATACCTCCCAATACAACAACTATTACCGGCAATCGGATAGGACCTGGCCGTCTCCATCCACCTATCACTCAGAGGAGGGAGAGCCTGTCGATGTTTGCTCCTCAACCAGGGTTGCAATTGGCTACACATCCCGCCAATTCGAGGCCGAGTAGTGTGGTATCGAGCCAGCACCAACCATCACCTGTTGTAGGGCACACACCCACCCATCATAATTACAACACAGGAATGCCTTTACCGACATATCAGTACTCGCAGCCCATGTCGTCTGCACCCAACATGTCTACGGCAATGACATCTCCATCTACCGATACGGCAGAATCTATGTTTTGGAACCCTATTCCTGGCGTACCAGGACCGATTCTGCCACGTCATACCTATCAGCAAATAAGCCCGATGGGCCTGGAGAGTGTTCTCCACAACACAGACGTAGGTGATCGTCTTGGTCGGGATGGGTTCAAAATCAGCGAAGACTGGCGATCGAGCCATATCAACGGCTTCAATCACAACATTGGAAGCAGTGTATACGGCAACCCGCATAGCCAGGCAGACACTGGGTATGCGCACCGAGGGAGCTACGCGCAGCCGACAGAACATGTGAGCTACCCGCAAACTACACATGAGGGGCACCACCATACGCAAGAAGAGTACGACCCGGGATGGTGGCAGAACACGAACGGAAACCAAGGACCGATGAGTTGACAGATGGACGGTTTCAAGATTGATGATGGGAGCATTTCGCATTTGATGCAGCAGTTGGTTCGGTGAGCTTTATCGGGAGAAGCTCATACATTCGAGGCTTGGTGGATTCCGAGTGGCGTTGCATAGCGGCATCATCTAGCGGGGCTAAGGCGTACAGGTACTGAACGACGAGTGTATTTTTCCAATGAAGGCGTTCATGGTCGGTGGACTGAGAGCTCGTACGGATGTGCAAGGTAGAAACTAGCAATAGTAGGCAAACGTCATGTGTTCCGTGTATCCAAGGTCCATTTCATGTGCCCATTTATTTTTCTGCGCACATGAGTCAATGAGACAGAATATAATGGCAGGTACAAGAACATGAATGTTTGTATTAAACACATTGCAGCTACATAGAGACATGTGTAGGTGATATAGTTGAAATGCTGAGATATGAGAGGGTATAGATCTAAATGAAGGAAAAGCCGGGGAAAAATATACAGGCCCAATTAACGGCAAAGTATGCAGCACGCCGGCGACATCGACTCAACATTACACCTCACCCTTAAAACCAGCAACACACTCAAACACCCTTCTGCTTTGCAGTCTGAACAAGCACACTAGCAGTCCCAGCACGCTCTTCATACAAGCGCCTCAGGTCCTCGACAGACTGTTTTTTGAGGTTCATTTTCTTTGGCTTCAATGTTCGTCCTCTTGCAACCCCCGTCTCGGCGTCTGCGTCCTCTTTCTTTGATTGGTCTCTGGCGAAGTTCTCGAAGCTGGGCATGCGTTGCATGAGACTTGGACTCGGGGTACGCAGACGAGGCGCAGCAGCTGGGATGGGGAGCGTGGATGCTTTGGTAGGTGCGTTGATAATGGGAACTTGAGGCGTCACCGGGTATACGGGTCGGGCGAGTGAGTTGATGCTGGGGCTACGGCTTGTTGTTGATGATGTTGCGGAGAATGGAATGCTTGGACGGCGAAAGGCAGGTTCTGATGCTGGTGCCGAGACTGCGCTTTGGGGAGAGGTCAACTGAGGCGAACTCACGCCCTCGCTCGATGCGTATGTTGAGGATGGACCTCTCTTCGCAATAGAGTTGTTGCTGTAGTAATTACCTGTAAGACCTGGAAGCGCCATACCGCCCATGGGGTGTTTGTGAGCTTCATCCTGTGCGACGACGGCCTTGGAGACATTGTCAATCTGCATCGCAGTCAGGGTTTTCCTCTTAGGAATGTTGAGTCTAGGCGCAACAGTAGGAGGAGTAGCAGTAGTAGTAGAAGAAACGTGAGAAAATGGCGCATCTTCTTGTGCGCGAGTAGATGCTGACATAGGAAGGACTGGAACTGGATTGCTCGTACCAGACTTCTTCTCATCCGTTTGTGCACTCCATCGCGGTGGTACATTAGGGGGTTGGCCGATACGGTTATCGTCGTTTCGGGGTGGGGCGAAGCCATCAGTGGTGGCAGCGTAAGTTATGGGTGACTCGGCGACGTCTTCAGGCGCGTCGGATATGACAGTAGAGTAGCGAGGTGGCACTGTAAGGGGCGGTGCAGGTTTTCGCTGAACTGAATCGGCAGAGGATTTGGCCGACGGTGCACGTGAGCGTGGAGGCAGAGGAGGCGGTAACGCCTCGCCTTGGGTTTCCTGTGGTTCGTGATAGGTAGGCATCTTCTCATTGTCGAGTAGCGTTATACCGCTCATCTGATCTTCCAATGAGCCTTTGCTATCTGCAGAATCACGCTTCGCATCCGCAGGGTCCTCCCAGTCGTTCTCGTCCTTGGGTAGCTCAAGCTCGTTGTAGAAAGCCTCCTCGTTCTGCCCGCATGCTTCTCTAAGCCCCTCGGTCCACATGTCGACTGCCTGGGTGAAGATCCTTCTTATTATTGAGGACATTTTGGCGTCTTCAAGCTGATCAGGTCCACACAGTAATCCAGGTGCAAAGCAAACAGCGAGGTTTTCGGCCGTCATCTTGTTTTCTTCTTGTCGTGCGGCTATGGCACTCATGAGAGGCAGAAGATGCCTGCACAGGATCTCGCGGGATATGCCAGGTAGCAGGGACCACTCCGAAGTTGGCGAGAACAGGTCGGTCAGTTTGTCGAGTTCAAGAATCTCCTGGCTGTCGCCATAGAGTCGCTTCAGGTCCCGATATGAGTCGGTTGGGAAGATAGGCTGGCGCAGAGATGCATACCATGCTTTGATCAGAGCTGCTGCCATGAAGACCGAGTATGCGTCGGTGGGGGCCACCTCAGCTAGTATCTCGTCTTGATGTTGGGCGTGTGGGTAGGGTGGTACAGGCAGTGTCACCTCGTTGTCCTTCCAGATGATGTATTTTTGGCCCCTATCGTATGCTTCCTTCAATGCATCGCGCAGCCTTGAGTGTGGTGGTACGCGGAAAAGGCCTTCCGAGGTGATGTTCTGCTCCATGAGCACGAAGCTGGTCGTCTCTCGCAGCACGCGTGGAAAGCGTGTCTTGCCATTACTGCCTGTGGGAAAAGGGGCGCGGGCGCCGAATGCTCGTTTCCCGCTGCCATTGAAAGCGGAGATGTGTTCGCACACGCGACGGTCGGCAAGATAGGTCGAAGGAGGGATAAGCAGGTTCTCGATTTGGATTTCGCGGGCAAGTTGCGTGAGGTTGGATACTAGAAGGAGTCAGCATTGCTCCGCGCTGCGGGGTTGTGAATACGCACAATGATAGATCTTTCTCCTGAACTTGGGGCTGACAATGGTAGAGAATATCTCGGTCAGTATCCGTACCCAAGCTTTCTCGTGCACAATGTACAGGCGCTGGAGCCTCTTGCGCATGGCCCTGGACAGGACATGGTACGCCTGCAGAAACCAGCCCCAGCCAGGCCGGTGCTTCTTGTTTGTCGCTGAGCCATCGCCATCACCGGCAAAGAAAACGACCTCGTATTCGAATCCCTTCAGCAGTTCGTCTTCCTCGGGCAGGCGCGCAAGGACATAAGGTAGCAGCGAGTCGTAGTCGGCTTCGTGCGAGTCGGGGAGAGCGGCGGCGTTGAGGATGAAGACGGGCCTTCCCTCTTGCGACGGCAGCGGCGACCGGTAAAGAACGGAAGCAGCGATTTTGGCCAGGTCTGGTGAGTAGTTGGAACTGTGCTGTGGTGGGGGTACTGCGGAGAGCGAGGAGCTGCGCAGCCGACTGGCGATGTGGGCACGCACGCCGCTCATGGCGACGAGTGAGGGGGCTGGCAAGCTTCAGTCAGGTTTGCCGTTGGCAGTAGGCAGGAACCGAGGGCGAATCAGGAATACGAGCACGTGCGGACAATATACATGTAGTGGAAAGGGTCGATGGACGGCCTGAGGCGGTGCGGTGCGGCTTATGCGGAGATGCAGCACCTCAGCCTGCATCTATAAACAAACCTTGGGTACGTCACTGTCATGAGCGCCACGAGGGTCTCAACTTTCTTAGCGCACCCAAGCAC